ACAAAAAAGTATCGGTCAAGATCAAACCCTGTAAAAAGGGGAAGGCCTTTGCTGGATAAAAAACAGGTGCGACAGGTGCCACGCTCTCGCTCACAACGGCGAGTGCAGCCGGCGGAAGTGGTGGAAAAGCCAAAACCACTGGAACTGAAGCCTCGTGGTGGGTTGTCGTATCGTTTCAGCAGAGCGTGGGCAGATGTGGTGGATGATGATGATCAGGCAGAGGCTTTGGTCTCGTATGCCGATTCCTCAGGCGATTCAAGCGAGGAAGAGACCAATGCCGCGCGACGCATGAGGGAAATCTTTTTGCCAGAAAGGGATTCACAGAGAACTGCGATTCGTGGCAATGTTCCGATGGATGGTTCTTCAAGCCCCAATGATGGGCAGAAAAAATTGGTTCACCTTGGCGAAGGGCGCGACAAAGCGTCGCGGGGGGAGACCCGCCAAGAAGTGACTTCTCAAGTTTTTCGCTACCACAACCTTCTCGTCGAACTGAAGAGTCTCAAAAAAGAGCAAGGGATGGCTCAGTTATAGTTGGTTCGCTGGCGGTGGGCTCCATGGATGAGGTTTTACCTGGGCAAGGTGTTGCTGGACAGGTGAATGTATCTGAAAGCGCTCAAGTTCTTCCTGGGCAAGAAGTGGCTGGACAGGAGACGGCGCTGGAAGGAGCAGTGCAAATTTCTGGCGAGGAGACTGGTCAAAAAGAAGGAGAAGGTGGGAGCAATGAACTCCGTGGTGATGGTGAGAAGACATTGGATATTCGTCCGGTGAAGAGGGACCCTCAGCAATTGCTTATTAAGGGCCTCCTGAGTCGGATTTCTTGGAAGGTTGCTGTCGGCAAGTTGCCTGTGGGGCAAAGGGACTGTCAGAAGGGGTCCAATAAGATGGATCGAAATTTGGTTATTAGCATGTCATCCGAAGGTGCAAGTGAACAGGATTGGAACCTGGCACTGGAGGACGATGCTGATCAGTCAATGGATGATGGTGCGATGGTGGTTATGGTGTATGATCCAGGAACGCTGATTCAGTCGCCAACAACTGATTGGGTTATGCGTCGCGGTTTGACCGATCGTACCATCTGGCCGGCAATAGCGACTGCGGCACAGAGGATATGTGCTGAAATGGTTCAAGTGGATGAATTGAATGCCCAGCTAGGGACTGGGACACTCCTTTTTCAAAGGAGAGATCAAGGACATTATGGTGATTTGCATCATTCGTTCCATGACAATCCGTGCCTGCCGGTGGTGGGAAATTATCCTCTCTCGGTGATGGGTGCATTGCTGTCTCCTGGTCTGGAAGGGGAATTCAAAAATACTGATAAGTTTGGAACTGCTATGGAGGCAATTGCCTACGATTGGAGTCGCAGTCCAGGCATGGAAGTTCACGTTGAACTTATGGCGAGGGTAGCCAAATTGGTTGCTCCGTTCCTTACCCTAGGAGGCCAAGGGTCAGTGGTGATTTCGGAATTTCTCTGGCAGCGCGGGAAGGCTCAATTGATGGAGTTTCTTCAGGCGGCGACATGTGCCGATCAATTGGAGGTTCTCTGGAAAAGGATGGACGACGATTCTGATGAGGAAGTGGATCCTTCCACAATGGTGCTGGAGATTCTTGGACAGGAAGATGCGGTACTTGATCAAGGGAACAATGAATCCCCTATTCCCATTGAAGATGCTGGAGGTGAGACAATTGGTGACACTGGAAGGGATGGCAAAGCGCCAGAAGTTTCTCCAGAAGAGGAGACATCCAGTGGGTCGTCAAGATTGGCTGGCACAAGGATGTTCTTGTGGTCAGTGTATGCTCGCGTTACTTCCAACTGGGATTTTTCTACGCAGGACCGCACGACTGGTAAGATCTTTGACAGCACAAAGAAAGGGGTATCCTGGTGAAGGACCAGACAATGGTGATGATTTTTCCTCTAAGAGGAACTTACCCTGGATCTCTGAAGACTACCTCGACGAAGTGGTGTCAAAAAAGATGGAAAGGTCTTCAGATATGGATAGGTTGGATGGGTTTGTTCCGGAAAGTGAGGGACAGTTGGAAAAGGTTGAGGTGAAGAATGTTACTGCCTCTAGAATTCTTATGGCTCTTTGGAAAAAAGGATATAGAGCTGGGTATAGGAGGTTGTGTCGTTCGAATGTATCTGGATGCAAGGTTGGAGCAATGAAACATCCAATCAAAAGGGTGCAGAAGATCGGCACTAGAAAGGCCTTCATGAAAATGTTCAATGTATTTGGATCGTCTCAGCGTGGCTCAGGAGCTGGCGGAAAACCAATCATGAAGGTGGTAGGACCAAGGCCAGGTTTTCCAGCTGTACTCCAAGCATCAAATACTGATAGCACCTTGGGTGAAGGGAGCAGTTCTCAGGCACGTGGCAATGTTCATGTAGAGCAGAATCGCCCTATGGACCGGTACGAGGCGGAGCGCTTGGAGAAGAGGAAGAAAGGCTTCTGCTATTGGTTCAGTAGGGGAAAAGATCGCTGCAAATTTGGTGACAACTGCAAATTCATCCATTCAGAAGATGATGTGGTGCTGCATTCGTATTGGTGCAAATACTATGTGGCGGGGAGACCCTGCTTCGCTGGAAAGGAGTGTGCGTTCTCGCATGATGCAACTGGTGTAAGGTGTATCCAGTTTGCTCAGTCTGGGAAGTGTCGTTATGGTGACAGGTGTGTCTTTGAGCATGGTGATCCGCTGGATGAACAGAGGCCAAGGTCTCCAAGGACGCCCCCAAGGGATGGTCCAAGGAGAAGTTCTGGTTCAAAAGGTGGAGAAAAGGAGATCTCTCCTGAACGGTTCGATGATGGTGAGGAGGATTTCATGGTTTATGACGATGATACCAAAATGGTGGAACTGTTGATGGAGGCGATTTCATTTATGTCCAATGGCAAGTCAGATTTGGCTCGTGCCGAGGCGGACCCGCTGTTCAAACTCCTGAAATTCACAGGAGACACTGACCAACTGGATAGAGAATGGTGTTCGTGGACCACTGGTATGCTGTCCGTGCTGGAACTTCACGAAGTAGTGAAGTCGTATGAGGTTTCGCTCGCGGAGGTGGAAGAATGGGTCAATGACCTGAGGATATGGTTCGAGCGAGCCAACGTGGGAGAAGAGAAAGATCCCAAAAGGGGCAAAAAGAGGTCCCTAGAAAGGGAGTCCAGCAAGGATATTCCTGCCGAAAAGGAGGTGGTTGAGACTTCGGAGACGGAGGTTGCCGTTGAGGAGGAGGTGAAAAAGGTCAAAAAGAAGAGGAAAACTGCAGCTATCGAAGATCCTTACACTCTCATGGTTCCAAAGCCGAAGAAGATGCCGGCGAACATTGAGAAGGGTGGATCATCATCCAATGCGGTGGTTTCTGCAGGGGAAAAAGCCTCGAAAATGCGCACAAAGTCAAGCGTCGTGGGAAAGACGAAGAAGAAGGAGAAAAGTCAAAGCCCCAAAAAGGAAGAGGTGGTAGTGGTGAAAGGTCCTGAGGAAAAGGATCGTTCCTCTGATGTGGATGCGCAAGCGTCTACCGCTGTGGATGCAGAGCTGGGTCAATCTTGCCAAGCGATTGAGGACGCAAAGAGAGAAGGATTGGTATCCTCAATTCAAAGGTGCGTGCAGGATCCTGTTCTTACAGACAGGTGCGCTGGATCAGCCAATGTGCTGAAAATATGGTGGTTACTATTAAGGGTATGGAAATCCCTGATAGTAGAAGTCAGTAGCTTTTCGCGTAGTGAAGACCACGGTTTGTGGTGAAGAAGGCCGAAGAGTCTTCAATGAAAAGAGGATCATGGTGAAAAAAGATTCTCTGTGGTTAGTGGGTTTAGCCAATGTGCTATAATTTCGTCCTGGATGACGTAAAACCATATTGTGCATTTCAAGCAGTTGGCTGCTGCCTTAATGGCAGTTTTTGGCCAAAGATCTGCACCTCCAATGTGTCCTAGGAAATCCTAGGACAGGGGGAGTGCGGAGCTGCAGTTGGTATTGTAGAAAGGAGTTGGTGTTGGAAGTTGAAGGGTCAATGCACCCGTGACCATTTTTGGCTCAAGATCGGGCCATGCGCCTCGAGAACAAAGGGTGCTTGGTGTTTTGGGTTGGTTTGTTGTTGGTTGGTCCAGGGGATCAAGGGCTTCTGTTGGGGTTGACTGTTTTGTTCCCTGTCCTCCTTCGGTTGCCCCCCGTACCCTAAACCCTCCTTAAGTCCCAAAACCCCATGAAGCCCCACACAGCCAAGCCCTTGAGAAGGCTTCGCGCTCATCATCTGCCAAGCACTTCAGGGGTTCATTCTCGATGAGCAGGCCGGAAGGGGGTTGAGGGTCGAGGGTTTATGGGCAGAAGAGTCTATAGCGTTCATTGGGTTTATTGGGGTGTTGTTGGCTTTTGGATTTTGTAGGGTTCACAGGGCTAATCGGCTTTGGGCAGGGAGGTGCGGAATTCTTTCACATGCCGAGCCTCAGGGACTGGTTAGGGCCGTGTGGGGCCATCTCTTAAAGCTCCATAGGCCACGGGCGTTTTAGTTTTTTCGGGTTTCGGGGCTACTTTGAGGTTCATGGGCAGCTACAAGTCGTAGGCATGAAGGTTCAGGAGGCACAGGAAACGGGAGAAGTCACAAATCGTCTCCCTTCCTCCCCCCAAGACCCGCGACAGAAACATGAATCCAGGGACGAGGCTTTGTCCCGTGCCACTCTATGGCATCTGATAAAGTTTTAGGGTTTAGGGTTTAGAGGCTATCCCAAAGTCTTCACCGCACGGTTTGTCGCCCGCTTGGCTGGGTTTGCTCATGAGATCTCATGCGGAAGGGCGGTTCAAAGCCTTCAAGCTCACTGAAACCGTTTCGACACTCCGCCCAACCAGGACCCAGAGCAGGCCCTGATCTTTTTTTGAGGCTAAGGTTCCCTCAAAAGCCCCTTTCAACCAAAAAGGGCACCCTTTTTGTCCCTTTGCATGCCTAGTTAGTACGGCTGTTCTTGGAGTCGAGCCAAACTTGCAGGTAGTTCGGATAGGTGTGGTCAATCTCAGCCATGGCAAGTGCCGCGACAATGGTATCTAGCGATCCCAAGATTTGGGTAGTCGATGACTGCCTTCCAGTGGAGTTTGTGGCGATGGTCAACAATGCGTTTGAGGATGGAACTGCTCAATGCCAAGTGGTAAAGAAGCCAAATGGTCGTGAGCTGTTGGCGAGAAACATCGACTTTGATGTCAAACATGAGCTTTGCCAGGAAGTCTTTGGGAGGATCTCAGACCTTTGCGGCATCCCCGCGGCCATGCCATTCAGCCATTTCATGGTTTCAGAGGTCTGGGCGAGCGGCCAGGATGCTCACCTGGACCATGTGAATGTGGATGATGTCAATGCAGAGAAGCTCTGCTTTCTTGACCTCACACGACAGAGCTCCTGTGAGGCTGATCCCAGAAGAGTCGTCCCAACGGTTTCCATTGCACTTTACTTTAACGCTGTCGGAGGCATTCGTTTCCCCTCAGCCAGCTGCGCGCAGACTATTGCAGCCAAAGCGGGCCGCATGGTTATTTTCCAAAACTACGATGATGAAGCAAGGCCGTCTCACAAGGATTCCGCTGCCCACTACGGAGTCTATTTCGAGAAGTTGCCCAGACGGGTCCTCATCATGGGCATCCTTGCCAATGAAACACCGCAGTTCACAGCAGATCCGAGGCAAAGAGGTGCAAAGACAGAGGCTCTGATCTACTGCGCCGGTACCAAACGAGATCCCTTGTATCATGACAATCCCTCATATGATACTTACAAGACTCCCGAGCAGATTGCGGAGAGGCTGAGGGCAGACCAAAAAGAAGAGGAATTCCTTCGTCGTCAAGAGCAGCAGACGAGGAAGCCTCTGAAGTTAGACATGATCGTCACCCTGGATATACAACGCAAGGATGGCTTCTGCAGCGTTGAAGGAAGAAACCTGCATGGAACGTTGCTGTGCAATCTCAGCTGCTCCCAGGCCATGACGGTGAATGAGTTGCGCGGTCAGGTGAAACAGGAAGCAGACCCAGACGACCTCACCAACCTCATGTTGTGCCTCCCGGACGGGCAGCTCTTGACCCAGGAGCATGACGGAACTATGCTCGCACGTTGGTCAGTGGAAAGCCAGCCGGTCGAGGTCGAGAGCCCGGGGGAAGCCCAACCAGCTGGAGAAAATGCCACCGGGGGCTCGAACTCTAACTCCTGTTGCTCCATGAGTTGAGATGCTTGGACACCGCTTGACTTGACGTCCTTTACATGTCTTCGATATCCTTGAGTCAGCAGAATCCGCAAACATGTTGGCCGCCGTGTACCATAGTGTAAAAGTCCACCAGACCGGCGAAAGGTGCCTCTCAAGGTTAAAAAGTGCCAGCGAAGAGGGCTCCCCATGCTGGCAATCAGCTGAGGGAACGGGGGGGAAGTGTTGTGACAAACCCTAAACCCTAAACCCTAAACCCTTGCAGGTTCATGTGCACCTGGTTGGGGAGTGAAAGGGGTGGCTGCATGATGGCGAGTCCAGCGCGAAACCCATCGTGGGACCTCAGGCCGCGCACCATGCCACTTGAATAGAGCATGTTTAGGGTTTAGGGTTTAGGGTTTAGGGTTTAGGGTTTAGGGTTTAGGGTTTAGGGTCCCATATTGACCCATGCAAGAATCATTGCAAGACCAGGCACCGCCCGAAGCGCGGTTAGAGATGAACAACCTGTACGGAAGTTTTCTCAAGGCCCTCTATACCATGACGCTTTGGAAGCAATGAGTGTGTTTCGGATTTCGGAGTTCGGAGTAATTAAGTGCTGATTCGCAAGGTCCGAAATCTGTATGTGTATAGTGTTTGTGCCGGGGCAGTTCTTAGCTTGAAGCGAGTTGATTTGGGGCTTTGGAAACAGGGATATGCTCGAAGACCGCGCGGAAGGCTGATGGGTGCACGTGCATCTTTCCGGGTAGTGGTACCCTTTACCCTTTTTTGGGTTCTGGGTTCTCTTATCAAGCTACTAACCGGCAAAAAGGGTACCCTTATCATAAGATGGTAACTGGGCTACCAAGTATCGTTCCGAGTGGTGCGCCCGCTTGTTGCAGTCCGCAAGGCTGCAATCGCAGGCTTCAGCGCTTTTGCTTCCTACATTCCAGGGCTGAGACCTTGTTCCAAAAGGCTTAAGAGAGTCTACCCTCAACCCTAAAATTCTAAAACCCTAAACCCCAAAACCCTAAAATCCTAAACCCTAAACCCTGTTCAAGCTCATGGCTTGGCTTCTGGGGCTTTTTAGCCCCCTTTTGTTCAGTCGTGGGGTGAAGAGCCGAAACGTCAAGGGGCTCATGGTTTAAAGCATGAGGAAACCGGGGGCCTCGACATCCCATGAACCTATGAATTCAGGGATTCGCCGGGCGGTCGCACAGAGCCATGCAGAGCCTGGATACCAGAAGGTTTAGGGTTCCAGTCGTCCCTGAGGTCGGCTCTCCATCATGCTTCCTTACACTCCTTGTAGCTGAGTAGATAACATTTAACCTTTGGAGTATTTACAATCCTACCAGAATTGAAAACCTTTCTTGGGGGGTACTCATCCACTATAAGGTTTAACATATGAATAGGCGGACCCTTCTTGTACGACGTATGGGGGTTTCCGAAATTGGGGGTACCTTATTGGGTTCCCCTACTATTTGGGGTTTGTATTGGGGTTTTGGGGTTTAGGGTCCCTTGTTTCCGGAAGCCCCCGTATGAGTGTCAGCGACCCCCAGGTTTGAGGTCACGCATAGCGGAAGCTGGCCTACAGTGGTGCGGCCGGTTCTGGAGAAAGTGGATCCATGGCCACCTGGCCTTTGAGGGTTTAGGGTTTAGGGTGTAGGGTTTAGGGTTTAAAGTTTAGGGTTTAGGGTTTAAGGTGTAGGGCCCTAAACCCTAAACCCGATAGCTCTCTAGAAGGGCTATCGCTCGCGTGGATGTTTGCATGCCTGCAGTGGGGTGCGGGCCTCGGGGTGTCCAAGCCTTGTATATACATATGTAATATGATATATATATATATATATATACATACATATGTGTATTTATTTATGTATTCATTTGTTTTTCAGTGTTATTTATTACTTAATTAAGTAATGCATTCATTGATTTTTTATTTCTGATTTTTTGGGGGTGAGTGAGTGAGTGTTCAGGGTTTAGGGTTCAGGCTTTGTGGGTGTGTGTGTGTGTGTGTGTGTGTGTTTTTTTGAGACTTTGGGTCTTTGCTTTTTGTTATATATCTAGATACATATATATATATACATACATATGTATATCTATATATATATATGTATATACATATATACAAACATTTATATATGTATTCTTTTTCTGGGGGGGGAGGGGTTGGTTAAAGGTTGTAAACGTGTATGGCCCATCAAAGGCAGACTGGTATAGGGACCCTGAGAAAGGATCGAATGGACCGTTCGTCCTATTGCCCTACTATGCAAGCACTATATACGTGTACACGCCAAAACCCCACCCCCTAACAAACTCTGAAACTGCTTGACACCAGATTTCCTGCCATGACATTTTTCATCGGCCTCATGAACCCGCAGAATCAAAGGAAGCATTAAGGAACATGCCTTACGTAGTACTTTTAAGTCATGACGCATTGCGTAAGCTCGGTAGAAGACTTCGTTGAGCAATGCTGTTCCAAGCCCTGGGCTCTTGGCCACTCGAGGTATGCGCTCTTCTTCCTCACCTACATCACCCTAGTTGCTGAGCTGCATGTGGCTGCGCGTGGGGCAGCGAACCCGATACTTTCATAGGTAGTTATAGGTGGGTTTTGAAAGTAGGGTAACCCTGCTGATAACCTTTTCTTACCGTATTTAGGGTACTTGGAGGTTCATAGGTGGCTAAGAAGTAGGAGCACAAGAACCCCTTCACAAGGTTATGATCAGTCGTACAGTGATAGTAAAAATATAACCAAACAGCAATGATCTCAAAAGGATAGTAATAGTAATAGTAATCATAATAGTAATTATTGTTACCCTACTTATAACACCCTACTTAGAACTACCCATGAACCTCCAAGAACGAGTTCAGTGTTTCGGGTCGAAGCATCCTGCGAACCCTAAACCCCTAAACCCCTAAACCCCTAAACCCCTAAACCCCTACCCCTAACCCCTAACCCCTAAACCCCTAAACCCCTAAACCCCTAAACCCCTAAACCCCTAAACCCCTAAACCCCTAAACCCCTAAACCCCTAAACCCCTAAACCCCTAAACCCCTAAACCCCTAAACCCCTAAACCCCTAAACCCCTAAACCCTAAACCCTAAACCCTACTCACAGGTCAAGCAAGGTGCTAGCTCAGCACCGACCCTCTAGAACCCAAACCTGAAACCCCAGCCCCGGGATCCTCATCCCGAAGTCGGATCCGAGCAAAGTGAAGCCCCAATGCTCCGACTCCGTAGCGAGGTGGTCTTTGCAGTCATCCGCGTCGTGACCGCGCTCTTTCTGAAGGCCCCTCGAATCGGATGCGCCGGGCGCTGTAGGTTTGGGGCGTTGGGTTTGGGTGTTCCATTATCAAGTCTTCGGCGAGTGCAGTGCAAGGGGGTGCTATCATTCCCAGCTTCCCTTCTGGTTGCTGCTGTTTTTGGATTTACAAGGAAGTGGCCTGAGTAACCTTTGACCTTTTTGGGGTAGTATACTCCCCTTACAATCCCAAAGCTTAACCTGTAATTCCCCCAGGTTACTGGACAACTAAGTCACGGCTTGGGCCCTAAGCCCCACAGAAGGGTTTACAGTTCATGTAGGTTTTTTTTGAACGTTAAAGCACCCTAACTTATAGGGTTCTTAAGGGAGGGGGGTTCAAGGGGGGTAGGTACCTCAACCCTAAACCCTAAACATTGGGGAATCTTAAGTCAGCTTAGGAGTCCTTGGGGAGTAGTGGGGAGTTTAAGGGAACCTTGGGTTACATACCCCCCTTGAACCCCCCTCCCTTAAGAACCCAAACCCACAAAGAAGGGCTTACGGTTCAGGGATTTGGGGTTTAGGCTTTAGGGTCTGGGGTTTGGGGTTATAGTAGATATAGCCTGAATCAACTACCATGTGCTTAAGAACCTCATGAGGGAGAAGATGTTTTCGATTTTTGTGGGGGGCGGGGGGGGGGGGTTGATAAGCAGTCAGCAGATAAGTGTACGTAAAGCCGCAAAGCTCTACTTATGAGCCTTCGCAAAGGAAAACCTTTTGGTCCAGCCTCCGGCCTGTTCTTACTGGCTAGTTCTTAGTAGGGAATGAGGGAATGAGGGCCCTATAATATACCTTTATGGGATTATTACAGGGCCCTCATTCCCTCATTCCCTACTAAGGACCAGGGGTGTCTTCGGGCTTGGGGAAGTTTAGGGTTCAGGGGTTTAGGGGAAGCATGGGGTTAGGGGTTAAGTATTTCACACCACGACCCTACATGGCCAGCCGATGGTCTAATCGAATCATCGAATTTAGGAGGTAGTGTTTAGGGTTTAGAGAGGAGGATCTATTTTTTTTTTGTTCTCTCTCTCTCTCTCTCTGTCGCCCTCTCCCTCTCTCTACTTCAAGTCCCTGAGCTCCTGAACCTGTTCTAGTCTCCGAACTCCTCCATCGCCCCCTATCAGCAGCATATTCAAACATACATACATATCTATATATATATATATATAGAATGTAATGTATATATAAATATGGTCACCCCCTCATGATCCGCACCTACGGCCCTGCCAGCCTTTCCTCCTTCAGATATATGATTTCCTCGGTACAATGCAGTGAAAGCTACACTCTGTTGTCAAGGGCTATACTGTTACAGCCACTTCAAAACTGAGCAGTGTTTTTTTATGACAAATTCTAAATGTTGTTTCTGAACTGTATGTCATCAATACCATATTTCAAGATCGGCGATCTTTTTGTTGTGTGGCACGAAAAGTTTTTTGCTGGGCCGTTGAAGTCTGACGTCATATGATACAAACCATTGTAGGGATTTAGGGTTTAGGGTTTAGGGTTCAGGGTCTCGATTTCAACTAAAGTTATGAGTACAAGTAGTCTATCAATGATGCACAGATCTAGCAAAACAACAATAGTTGACGTTTATGGAGCTTTCGTTATTGTTTCTAATATGCTTCAGAGCAATACGTACCTCATATAGTTAATACAGTTTGCACGGTTAATATAATTAGTATCGTTAATGTAATTAATGTAGTTCACATACAGAATTAGTACTATTAATGTAACGAACTGAAAAGATACAGTTCGCATAACTAGTCTGGGGGGGAGCGCAGTGGAAAGTGGAAAGTATTGGTCTAAGAAAAGTGGGAAGTGAATACGAATATGTGTATGTAAAGATAAATAGAGGCTAGCTTTGACATGTGTCTTCTAATTATTTACGTTCGCAGGTGTATGTCCATAATAATTTCCTTTCTCTCTCTCTCTCTCTCGTTAGAACCTTATTTCATGAAACCCGGTTCTCAAGGGATGGGGTTCAGGGGGGGTAGGTAGCTAGGGCTATGGAAGCTTAGGGTGCCTTAAAGGGCAGTGGTGAGTGTTCGGGAACCTCGGGTTACATGCCCCCCATTGAGAACCCTAAACCCTAAACCCTAAACCCTAAACCCTAAACCCTAAACCCTAAACCCTAAACCCTAAACCCTAAACCCTAACCATGTCGAAGGAAACATTGGCCAGCGCAGAGAACGACGCCGACATGGCAATGGAGAACTCCAGACGTGCCCTGCAACCAAGATCGCCCTAAACCCTAAACCCTAAACCCTAAACCCTAAACCGCCAATTTAGGGTTTCGGGTTTAGCCCGGCTAAACCTTATAACTAGGATGCCCAGTAGTGCCCTTATTCCTTTTTTTTGGCGGGTTAGGTTCCCTTACAAACCCCTTTAAGCAAAAAAGGGTACCCTTTTTAATCTTGGGTTACTGAGTATCCTAGATAAGCCTAAAAAGAAGTAATTACGTCCTTTAAACAACCACCCTTGACACCACGCAGGGCGTCCTTTTATCCCTAGAGTGAGGTGGAGACATGTCGAGTAAAAAGGGGCTGCAGAGCCTTCTGGCATATTGGGCTTTGCGAGGGCTTTAGGGTTCAAGGTGCTAGGTCTTGGCACGATTTTCATTGCGAAAGCCTTGCTTGCATGCCATGCGCCCCCGTCCCCAACACCACGCCATCTAAGGTGTGGCTGGAGAGACTCACAGGACAGCGCAGTAGTGCGGTTAGGTTTAGGCGCAAAAACCTATGAGACCCATGTGACGTCTGAGTCGTTGGTTCCTCAGGCGAGAGCTAGGTCCTGCAGATTCCTTCGCGGCTGTTGCTCGGGTAATTTCAAAAGCTTATGCGACTAGCTCATGCTTGCCAAACTCACTTTCCTCTCGGGGTTCTGAAACCTTAAACCCTATATTATTCATTCCTTAAGAACCCTCCAAAATGTCTGCAGATTATTACTTATAAGGGCAATATAGGCATTATTATCTTGTCTTTTTTGGGGGGTCTTAGGCTAATAGTAGTAACCCCTCAGCCCGAACCCCCAAACCTCCCTAAGCCGCAAGGACATGCTGGAGGATACTTAGACCCTATACCTTGGGATGTTCCCCCTTCTACTGACAGTCCTTAATCGGGATTCTAGTATCCCCCCATTACAATCCCTATCAAGGAGCCAATTGTCTAGTATCCCCTACTATAATCTCATTCAGGGCTGTTTACTATACGGGGGAACGTCCTCAAACCCCAAACCCTAAACCCTAAACACAACCTATACCCCCACATGCAACACTGGACACAACAGGAAGCTAGAGGATTTGTTCGTGGCCGCCGACGAGGCTGGAACTACGAGCACAAGCACCCCTACTTGCAGGTTCATGGTACTTATTAACCAATTAGAACTGTACGTATAACTATTATAGCTATATTAAGGTGCTTATAAGTGGGTTATAAGTACAGTTCTTATTGGTTAGTAAGTACCATAAAGCCCCAGGCTTCTTTGCGGGGGAGGTGTGTGTGGGGGGGTGGGGGTTGAGGTTTGGGGTTTAGGGTTTAGGGTTTAGGGTTTTGGGTTTTGGGTTTTGGGTTTAGGGCTTAGGCTTGCGCTGGCAGTCACCAAGTCCGGTCTCAAAAAGGCTTAGGCTTAAATTGTAATTCCTGTCATAAACCCTGGCCCGCCACCTTTACAAATCCTGGAGGGGGGAGGGGGTTAGGGTTTAGGGTTTAGGGTTTAGGGTTTAGGGTTTAGGGTAACCCTAAATGCGAAACCCTTGAGGGTTTTTAGGGTTTCGGGTTCAGGGCGCAGCCTTGGACAGGATGGCGACGGAAGCCTCTCCCCCGAGGAGTTTGTGACGGCACCTTGGCCCTGCCATGGAATTCTTGACCCATGCTCGGGCCCAGCACTCCTCGGGAGCCCAGAGCTTTTCAAGACTTTACCCTAAGGGTTTAGGGTTTAGGGTTTGAGGGTTTGAGGGTTTGAGGGTTTAGGGTTTGAGGGTTCCCATTCGTCACTAGGACTTTCTTGAGAGGCGATGAGCCTGCCGAGCGTGCAACGATTCCTGAACTCTTTGGACGTTAGCATCAGGCCGGGTGTCCGCTTTTTTCGGGGTTTAGGGTTTAGGGTGAGGGTTCAGGGGGCCACTGCAAGGCTTTTGTACTATTTGCTTTAGGGTTTTGGACAGCGTTTTATCAAAAAGGGTTCAGGGTTTAGGATAGCTACTATGCATGCTTAAGAACCCCCGAAGAATGCAACACATATTCTTCATTAAGGACAAGAATATGGGGATTAGTCTCTTTTTTTTTTTTTTTTTGGGGGGGGGGGGGGGGGTGGGGGGGGGTGGTTCCTAAGCCAATGGTAGTTTTCCCGAGTTTCAGGCGCGACTTGTAGTAATTAGCGCACGTGAACTTTCAAGCACTTGTGTGCTGCTAACATCCCTCAACTCAACCGTAAACCCTAAACCCTAATCCCTAAACCCTAAGCTTAATAGGGATTATAATAGGGGGTGCTCGAATCCCTATTCAGGACGGTTAGTATAAGGGTGAACATCCCAAGCTGCACTGCTGCTGGTGCCGGCCTTCCCTGGCAGACATCCGTGAGGCCCGTTGCAATAGCACTCGGCTGGAGCTCATTTAGGGTTTAGGGTTTAGGGTTTGGGGTTTAGGGTTTCTAAACTTGGGATGTTCCCCTTATACTAGCAGTCGTTCATCGGAACCCTAAACCCTAAACTTTAAACCCCAAACCCGGTTAGAGTACCCCCTTTCATGAGCCCTAGTAAGGACGGTTAGTATGAGGGGAAACAACATCCTAACCCCCAGCCTTGAGGATCACAAAGGGCGCCCTTTTTTCCCTTTGTCTGCCTAGTTAGTTCGGTTAGGGTTTAGGGTTTAGGGTATTCTTGAATAGGTGTGGTCAATCTCAGCCATGGCAAGTGCCGCGACAATGGTATCTAGCGATCCCAAGATTTGGGTAGTCGATGGCTGCCTTCCAGTGGAGTTTGTGGCGATGGTCAACAATGCGTTCGAGGATGGCACCGCCCAATGCCAAGTGGTAAAGAAGCCAAATGGTCGTGAGCTGTTGGCGAGAAACATCGACTTTGATGTCAAACATGAGCTTTGCCAGGAAGTCTTTGGGAGTATCTCAGACCTTTGCGGCATCCCCGCGGCCATGCCATTCAGCCATTTCATGGTTTCAGAGGTCTGGGCGAGCGGCCAGGATGCTCACGTGGATCATGTGAATGTGGATGATGTCAATGCAGAGAAGCTCAGCTTCCTTGACCTCACACGACAGAGCTCCTGCGAGGCTGATCCCAGAAGAGTCGTCCCAACGGTTTCCATTGTACTTTACTTTAATGCTGTCGGAGGCATTCGTTTCCCCTCAGCCAGCTGCGCGCAGACTATTGCAGCCAAAGCGGGCCGCATGGTTATTTTCCAAAACTACGATGATGAAGCTAGGCCGAATCACAAGGATTCCGCTGCCCACTACGGAGTCTATTTCGAGAAGTTGCCCAGAAGGGTCCTCATCATGGGCATCCTTGCCAATGAAACACCACAGTTCAAAACAGATCCGAGCCAAAGCGGTGCAAAGACCGAGGCTCTGATCTACTGCGCCGGTACCAAACGAGATCCATTGTATCATGACAATAAGGCCTGGGAAGAAGAGGAATATCTTCGTCGTCGAGAGCAGAAGACCAGGAAGCCTCCAAAGTTAGACATGATCGTAACCCTGGACATACAACGCAAGGGTGGCTTCTGCAGCGTCGAGGGAACAAACATGGCAGGAAAGTTGCTGTGCAAGCTCAACTGCTCCCAGGCCATGACGGTGAATGAGTTGCGTGAACGGGTGAAACAGGAAGCAGACCCAGACGACCTCGCCAACCTCATGTTGAGCCTCCCGGACGGGCAGCTCTTGACCCAGGAGCATGACGGAACTACGCTCGCACGTTGGTCAGTGGAAAGCCAGCTGGTCGAGGTCGAGAGCCCAGTGGAAGCCCAACCAGCTGGAGAAAATGCCACCGGGGGCTCGAACTCCTGTTGCACCATGAGTTGAGATGCTTGGACACCGCTTGACGTGATGTCCCTTACATGCCTTGGATATCCTTGAGCTAGCAGACCCCGCAAAACATTTTGGCCGCCATGTACTATAGTGTAAAATCTGCCAGATCGACGGGGGAAAGGTGCCTCTCAAGGGTCAAAATTGCCGGTGAAGCCTGTATGTTGGGATCTTCCCCCTTCTACTAACAGTCCGTAGTAGGGATTCTGGTACACCCTATTATAATCCCGATCAGGGGCTGTTAGGATAAGGGGCAACATCCCAACCTGCATGTTTTTTTTTTTTTTTGTATGCGCGGTTGTCAAGTCCCTGGCTGATAGCCTGGGCACTGGCGCCTCGGTTCGCAACATGGACTGTGGCCTTCAGATCATGTCAAGTCGAGCCCTAAACCCTAAACACCACCCCCCCTAAACCCTAAACCCTAAGATCCTAAACACCAAACCCTAAACCCTAACCCCCAAAACCCAAACCCCCAACCCCCAAACCCTAACCCGAAACTCGTTCTGGGGCTTCGTCGGCTTAGTTGGCTCAGGGTACAGGGCAGATTCGCGGAGGGGACGTGGGCTTGGCATTCAAGACATCGAGGGTGGCAGCAGAGGCTGCAGAAGTTGTTTACTTGAAAGGTAGGGTTAGAAGTGAGGGTTTACAAAACTAAGGGACCCTCAATATAGACCCCCAGATAGTAGGATTCCCTTACATGAAGGACTCCAATACGATACCCCTTACTTTGGGAAGCCCCCCCCCAGTAGGTTTAGGGCTTAGGTGTATGGCTACCTGGAGGTTCAGGAGCAGTGAGAAGTAGGGTTATACTTATCCTGGACATAACCGATGTAGCCCTAAACCCTAAACCCTAAAGCCTAAACCGTCCACCCTAAACCCTAAACCCTGAACCCTGAACCCTGAACCTCCACGCATCCATTCCTGGTAGGGAGGAAGGCTGGTGCTGGCTGTCTGGTTCGATCTAGTTGGCCTGGAGTTCTGGGCTATGCCCAAAGGGTATTTGGGGGTACGAAAATAGGGGACCCCCAGGTGCCGCAATTTCGGAAACCCATATGATACGTATTCATAGTATATCTACTTGGGCCTCAAAGGGGGCCCCTTCCGTAGTAGCGGTAGGGCCCAAACGTATACTATTTAATTTAGGTCGTGGACCCTTTAGGAAGCAGATAAGCAAAAGCCCATATGACCTAGGCCCTAAACCGGAGCGCCGAACCTCATGTGGGCTGCCTGAACCCTAAATCCTGACTCCTTGTTCAGTCATTGTTCGACGTCGCCCCACCGGTTTTGCTTGTGCAGGGACTGCGGCCCTTTGTTTGACATCCTGGATGATGGAGACGGAGTGTTCCATGGACAAAAGAGGAAAGCTCAACCTTACAACCCTAAACGCTACAACCCTAAACCCTAATCCTAAACCCTAAACTTTGCCCTAAACCCCTCTACACCCCAAACCCCTTATCTCTGCACCCTTCTGCTAGCTTGGTGGTTGGTTTGGTGCTGTTTGCGTGTTTGCCCCGCAGGCCGCAGGGAGGGTTTATGATATCTTATTCCCTAAGCCCTAGCAAAACCATGACACAAAAACGGCAATGTATAAATAACAAAAAAACATTATATATATATATATATATATATATACACACTTATTTTCATTTTTATATGCACTGGGTTTTGGGACATGTTTTATTGTCTCATACTGTTTAGCCGAGTCCTCTTCAGGAATAGTGTATGTGGCTGGCCCAGTATATTATGTTCTTTCTGAAAGAAAGCCCTAAACCGCTGGGATCCTAATCCATTTAAGGAAGATTTTACCCTGAGAGCCGATGTTCAGGGATGTTTCTCCTCAACCAGGGTTTGGCGTGGTGTAGGGTTTAGGGTTTAGGGTTTGGGGTTTAGGGTTTAGGGTTTAGGGTTTATAGGGTTTAGGGTTTAGGCAAAAGGGTTTAGGGTTCAGGGTTAGTTTATGGGAGCCCAGAGTTGAATAACCCCGGTGTTATGCAGGAAGAGTCCCGCAACTTTTGCGATTCGAGGGAGGGGGGGGGGGGGTCTGCTGCTTCCCTAAACCCTAAATTGCTTGCGTTGGGCTTTCTGGGAAGATCTACGAGCCCTCAGCTTGGGATGCTCCGCCTTTACACTAACAGCTCCTTCGTAGGGATTATCATCAGGGGAACTCTCATCCCTATGAAGGACTGTTACAGTACTACAAGGGGAGCACCCTAAACCCTAAACCCTAAACCCTAAACCCTAAACCCTAAACCCTAAACCCTAAACCCTAAACCCTAAACCCTAAACCCACATGCTAAGGATCACCATCACGGAGTTTTGCAAGGGCTTGATGCAGCTCAAGGGCCAGGCGCGCGCTATCGACCTCGTGACCTGGCTTCCCTAAGGTTAGGGTTTAGGGTTTAGGGTTTAGGGTTTAGGGTTTAGGGTTTAGGGTTTAGGGTTTAGGGTTTAGGGTTTAGGGTTTAGGGTTTAGGGTTTAGCCCTACCAGATATTTTTGGGTTTATTCACAAGCCCTAAGCCTTACACTTGCTTCACACGGTCCCTTGCCTTCCTTAAGGGGTTCCGCAGTAGGGGTCCTTAAGTGTAAGGGATTCAGAAGCGTTGCCCAAGGAAAGGGCCCTAAACCCTAAACCCTAAACCAGATTCTAACAGCACTCGCCCTAAGAGCTTCTCAAGGCTTGATAGTAGCGCGCGCAACATGCAAGAACGTCATGACCCAGCCCAGGCAGGTTCCCAAGGGACTAAAGGAGGGACCCAAAAAGGGACCTTAGGGGTTCTTTAGGGGGTTGTTTAGGGGCTACTTAGCTAGATTGGGACTATATAATTCAGGTATATACAGAGGTTATATAAGGGAATAAGAGTACTGTAAGGGTCTCTCCTAGGGGTCCCCCCTTAAACCCCTTTATGATCACCTTTGGAGACACCAGAGCGCAGAGCCCGAAGCCAAGCACAATACACTTACACGCAGTAAGTAGTCACGGTGCTCGATGGCACTTTGCTTCAAGAGTCAACATGCCCAGATGAACTCATCTTTTTTCCAGGCAACCCTAAACCCTAAACAGAAAGCCCTAAACTCTAAACCCGAAACCCGAAACCCCACACCAGCCCCTTGCAACTTTGTTTTTTGCACATAGAGCTTCGCGGAAAGCCCAAAGCCGGCGACCAATCTCCACTCAGGTCGTCCTGCAGCACGCCTCTCCTCTGCAATGCCGGCTAGGGAATGAGGGTATGAGGTACCCAAACAATAAACCCTTAACCCCCTTAAGCCCTAAACCCTATATACCCCCTCAAGGGGTATATATGTATATACATACATAGGGCCTTATTTTTTATTGTAAGAACCAAGGGGAAAGTCAAAAACACACTTTGCTTTGGTTGTTTGGCTTGCTGGACGTTGGACAAAACCAGATGCTGAAGGTAGGGTTGCGCTGCTTTTTGGGTACTCAGCTCCTGGAAACATGTAGTATGCGTGATTCAAGGTCCTAGGACTACTACCACAGTGGACATGGTTATTTTCATTGCGTCCTCTTATTATCGGAGTTGCCTGCCATCGCGTTACCCCACAGACCGGAAACCTGGCATTTCTAAAGTTTAGGGTTTTTGTTGCCAAAAAAGGGGGCACCTGCCATCCCTTCTCATCGAACAGCCAAGGAGAACAAGAAGCTGCTCCGCGAGTGCGAGAGGATCAACAAGACGCTTCACACCCTGACGAAGGCTCGGATTGGGGGTCTAGGGTTTATGGGTTTAGGGTTTAGGGTTTGGGATTGGGTTTTTCCTGAAGGCTGAACATGGCCCCACATGGTCTAAGAAATATTCCACATACCCTTTGGGCATACCCTTGAAAGGAAATTCAGGGGTATGGTAAGATCCTTCCTTTTCTCTCCTTTCCTAGGTCAAGGGTTATGGGCTTGGTGTGCTGAGTTATTCTTAGACTATTAGACATGAGGCATAATTTGTGGACTGTTACACGCCAATGTAGGTCTTGTTTGGTATACTTGGAGCCCCTACGGGAGGGGGGGATTCTGGACGGGGTTTCAGGCCACAAGTGGATCCCCAAGGCCTGCTGTAAAAAAGGGTTTGCTGGCCTTAGTGGCGAGATTCGGGACTTCTCTGAAGCTTTTTGGGGGAGGTTTGGGTGGTGGTTTTCCAGGCTCCGGTTGACACCCTTTTCTCTCCCGAGGCTCCCTGAAGCCCGCGCCCTATTCCCTAAACCCTCAAATCCTCAACCCTGAACCGTGCACCCTGAACCCTAAACCCTAAACCCTAAACCCTAAACCCTAAACCCTAAACCCTAAACCCTAAACCCTAAACCTTCAGGGTTTAATTAGGCTTCTCGGGCTTCATGCCATTAGAGAACCCGAGCTTTGTGTTACGGATCCATGAGCTTCGTTTTGACCAAGGGCCCCTAGCTTCGCACCTCCGCGCCTTACACAGAAGGTACCCAGATCTGAAGATACCTTCATTCCTTTTCCAGGGTTTAGGGTTTAGGGTTTAGGGTTTAGGGTTTAGGGTTTAGGGCTAGGACCCCGAGCAGACCCTTCTTCCTGTTCTTAGGGTTTAAGATCCCTTCTAGGCACTTTTTTAAAGACAGCAAGGGTGCCCTCTTTATTTTAGGGTTGCTCTTGGGCCTAGGGTTTAGGGCTTAGGGTTTGGGCTCAGGGGGTTCTGCCATCCGCCCGCAAGATTGGTGGAGGTACTTGGAGGTTCACAGGTAGTTCTAAGTAGGGTTAAAGGTTGGGTAACTATACTTGGCACCCCATTCGGGTACTTGTGACCCTACTTATAACTACCCAAGAACCTTCAAGTAGGTGTTTTGGGATGCCAGGATTTACGGTTGTAGGCTAAACCCGAAACCCGAAAACCCTAAACCCTAAAGGGACGGTTGGGTGGTAGGGTTTTAGGAGAGTGCCAGCCGGCAGCACTGCTGTAGCAGCAAGCTGCAAGCCACAACCCCATCCCGCATGCGTTGAGCCGTGCATCCAGCAGTAGCCCTAAACCCTAAACCCTATACCCTGAACCCTAAACCCTAAACCCTATAGGCCATGAAAGTTCCGGCGATGCAGAGATCGGAGTCGCAACTGCAGTACTCGCGGCTGGCCTGAGAGAACATTCGGTTTTGCTTGATGAGTTTGGTGCCTTTGGGCGGGTTCGGGTTTCGGGTTTAGGGTTTAGGGTTTGGAAACCCTAAACCCTAAACCCTAAACCCTAAAAGGGCGAAGTAAACCCGGAACCCTATTTGGCATTGTCCATCCCGGGGCTCAGCTGCAGGGTTTCTGGGTTTTGGGGTCCAGGGGGGATGTTTAGGGGTTTAGGGTTTAGGGTTTGCTCGTTTCCTGCTGCGGCGAAGTTTCGGGACAAGCCTCAACCCCTCAAGCCTAAACCCTAGACCTTCATCACAACAAAACAGCTTAAACCCTAAGCCCTCGACCCTATACGCCACTTCGAACATTCCCACCCAGCAGGCAAGGAATTAGGCACACTGTGTGGATGCTCTGGGTTGGGTGATGGGCGAGGAGCAGACTGTAAGGAGAAGAGTTTCGTTTAAACCCTAAACCCTAACCCCTAAACCCTAAACCCTAAACCGAGGGTGATGAAAAGCAGGCTTAAGTTCTCTTTGTGCAAAGGTGGCCCCCTGCTTTTCAGGGGTTCAGGCGTGAATTCAGGCCTGAATTTCAGATTACGAGACCCTACACCCGAAGCGCTTCGCGTTTCTAGGCCTGGGGCTTGGGTTTAGCGGCTTAGGATTTAGGATTTAAGGTGTAGGGTTTGGGGGTTTCAATGCTGAGAGTTTGGATTGTGGGTTGCCCTGATTTGGGGATGAAGTGGAGGGTGGGCAGCGACCGTCATCAGTTACTTAAAGGCCCCAGGGAAGTAGGTCTGCATCCAGGGTTTGGGTTCAGGACGTAGGGGTCTGGGAGGCGCCCCAAGTAGCCCTAAACCCTAAACCCTTAAACCCTTAAACCCTAAACCCTAAACCCTTAAACCCTAAACCCTAAACCCTAAACCAGGGTTTAGGGTGTAGTGTTAAGGGATTTAGAACCCTCGTTTTGGGGCCCTTATAATTCCTGTAACCTGAAGGGCTTTCAAGTAGGGAGTAAGGCTTGTATGGCTTGTCATACTGGGAAGGTACAAGCAGGGTTATTATAGTAACCCTACTTGTAACCCCACTTATAACTACCCATGAACCTCCAAGTAGCCCTAAACCCGAAACCCTGAACCCCACTTATACGTTCCCATGAACCGCCAAGTAGGGCTTGGTGAAAGGGCCTCGACAGCACTCGAAGGTTCACAAGTAGTTAGTCTTGAGTAGCTTCATGACCCTAAACCCTAAACCCTAAACCCTAAACCCTAAACCCTAGGGAAAATGAAAACCTAAACCCTAAATCCCAAGCCGACGAATGCAGCACAAGTCTCAACCGGGCAGCTCAAGACCTATTTGTGGCTTTCTTGGAGGTTCATGGTACTTATTAACCAATTATAACTGTACTTATTACTGCACTTATAAACATATTAGGGCACTTAAGGGGCTTGTAAGTGGGTTATAAGTACAGTTATAATTGGTTAATAAGTACCGTGAACCTCCAAGTAGAAGGAGGGCACCACCTTACTATACTTATCTTAGCGACGGGAAGTTCACCTAATGTAGGGGTCGGAATGGTTGCTGATAGTATTCCCTTATGATTCCATAAGAACTCCCTAAATCCCTATTCCAATTATTCAGGCCTCTGCATTAACTTAAACCACCTAATCTCGGCCCCTTCTGACTCTACTTCGAACTAGTGGGAACTAGTGGAGGTCCCTCCTTGCAAGGTTTCGGATGCTGGGTTTCCCACACCCCGTGCTCTTAAACCCTTCATTCTTCAACTCCCACGCCCTGTGCCCTAAATCCACGGCGGCTACTGCAGGCACTTCTGAGCGCCGCGCGGCGGTTTCTGTGGACTCCAGCCCCATTCAGTGTAGAGTTAACCTCAAATCCCTGGTAGTAGAGTAGGTAACCTGTAACCTTTTTGGGGTAATATAATCCCCTTATCATCCCAAAGGCAAACCTTGAATGCCCCCAGGTTACTGGACAACTAAGAACCATTGAAACCCTCGAGGGTAGATTTTCCAGTGTACGGTTTTCTCTAAAGCTTAGTTGATGGGCTTTTGGGTTTAGGGTGCATATAGTAAACTCAAAAAAGTTGGCATGTCCTTCTCGCCAGACCCAAAGGTATACTAAAGGGAATCCCAGCTCTAATCATCCTTAAACCATGTTTAATGTAAGGTTCCCATGGCTTTCAATCGTAGAGGCTGAGCTCTGTACGATTGAGGATCTATAGAGGAGTTGGGCTTTGCACGTTCAGGGTTTAGGGTTGACCTTACTCAAAACAATCCTTACGCATCCATGTACCTTGAAAGCTACTGCATATAAACCTCTTTGAGGCCCAAGCATTGACTATGTGGGTACATGGACCCTAAACCCTTAACCTTGGAGAGAGTGTGCCTCGCCATGGGTACATGGACCCTTTGGGATTAGTACTCCCGGGATCGTGGCTCCAAGTTTACGGCTCATGTTCTCCCCACACCCTCATGGGCCCACGGGGTGCTCTCCTAACATCCTATCAGGCCTGCAGTTTAGGGTTCAGGGTTTAGGGTTGACGTCGTACTCAGTAAATACCCTCATTGTCCACGCTAAAACCTAAACACCGCATTAACCCTAAGCCCTGACCCCCAACTCTAAAAACCCTATAAACCCCAAACCCTAAACCCTATAAACCTCAACCCTATCTAAACTCTCAGCCCTAACAACAAGTCCTGGAAGCTCCGATGTTTAGCCCCTGCAGTCCTCCTAACCGCGTCTTCGTCGAAAAGGCCCAGGGGCCGATTGCGGACCAACGACCGTCCGTCAACTTCCAGCGCCGGCACAAACCGCAGTGATCCGTAGGGTTTAGGGCTTAGGGTTTAGGAGTTCCGTAGGGTTTAGGGTTTAGGGTTTAGGAGTTGATGTATGGTTTTAGGATTTAGAACGTTTCGAGTGCCTGGGAGAGAGAGAGAGAGAGGGTTCAGAAGTTCAGGAGTTTTGGGTTATAGGGAAAATTGCACAGCGGTCCCTCCTCAAAAGAAGGGCTTTAGGGGTTGGGGGATAGGCTACGACGTTGTTCACTGAGCCTTGGCAGCTCAGTGGTCCCTTTTGCCCTTTTGGCTCCGGGTGCCTTTACAAATGTAACCAGCACCAAAAACGGGTGCCCTTGCCATAAGATTTTGCGGGCTACCAAGATGAGCCTGATCCCGAAAGCCCTACACCCCGACCCTCAACTTTACACCTGGTACGCAGGAACCCCAAACCGACATTCCACATGTGCCGGCAGCTGCTTTCTAGCCGACTGAAGAGGCGCCCGTAATCTAAAAGATCAACGTGTGCACTGCAGCGGCAGCGCTGGAATCTCATAAGCCCTACTTATCGGTTCGTGGTATGTAGTAGGGATGAAATTCCGTTTCCTGGAGGTGAAAAGACTCTAACCAATTCTTGTTATAGTTAATTACCCTACATAACACCCTGCCCATTTCTACCCATCATCATAAAATCAGACTCTAGAAAAACCCTAAACCCCTCATGAGAGCCCAACACTCTTTAATTCACCAATAGCCCGCTTTAACTACATAGGATCTTATGCCCTTGAATTAACCTATAGACCTTAAAACTATATAGGATCTTAGGATCTTTCTCCTGAATTGCAGGGTGTTGGTCTCTGTGGGCCTGAGCCCAAACTGAAGCCCATACCCTAGGGCTTAAGTTCGGTTTAGGGTTTAGGCTTTAGCGTTTTAAGGCTCCAGGTGTAGTGTTCAGGTTGTAGGGTTTAGGGTTGTAGGGTTTAGGGTTTAGGGTTTAGGGTTTAGCGTGTAGGGTATAGGGTTGGAGTTGCGACAACACTTCTGACGCTTCCGGGACCGGGACGTCCTGGGCGTGGAAGACTTGAGAAACACAGTTTAGGGTTTAGGGTTTAGGGTTTAGGGTTTAGGGTTTAGGGTTAGAAGCCCAACAATACTTGGAGGTTCATGGGTAGTTTTTTTAGTGGGGCTATAAGTACCCTAAGTGAGGTCAAAAGAATAGTTACCCTACTTATAACTACGAGTGATCTCCACGGCTTACAGGCTAAAGTTGAGTTTACGAAGAAAAAAAGGGACCCCTAATCTGGAGCCCCCCAAAAAATAGGATTCCCTCATAAAAAAGGACCCCAAGACGGCACCCCTTTTTCGGAAACCCACAAACCGGCTAAAACCCAGGCATCCAAGGGCCCCCAGCGCGCACGTCAAAAAAAGCCTTTGGTTGCACGGCCGTACTGCCATGCTCCAGGAGCTCAACTCTCTGACGAGCAGGATGACCACACTTTCCCACTATTTGCTTAAGGATCTCCCCCAACAAAAAGTAATAATCCCCAGATTCCCCTTATAAGGAAGAGTACATGTGTTTTTGGTGGGGGTTTCTTAAGCAAAGAGTGGCTTGCACGCGCATCGAGGAGTCTCAGAATGTGCGCCACATTGGTCTCATGTCACGCCGTCAGGCACCCTGATGTGGAGACGTCTCTATAGTGGAGCAATATGGGGGTTTCCGACAATAGGGGTGCCCTCCTAGATTTAAAAGGGAATCGACTAGACTTGGAGTTAAAAAGGGCCACCCCGATTGTAGGAATCCCCCATATGTGGAACCAGCATGTCAAGTGTTTGCAGCCGCACTTTCCCGCAAAAGAAATGTCAGTAACTGCAGTTGATTGCGTATTGCGCGTTCCACACTTTCCGCTTGGATCTCTCGAATGTTCATGGAGAAAGAGGAAGCCCTAAACCATCAGTCCCTCCCTGTAGAACTGAAGACCTAGGCATCTGAGACCCAGTGGGTTGTGCCTCGCCCTCCTCATCTTAGGCCCCAGCCTTCAGGGGGTTGAGGGTTTAGATGTCTAGGAAGAGAGGGATTGCGACGAAGTGCTCTAGGTCTCCAAAGCCCAAAACCCTAAACCCTAAACCCACTATGCAGCTAGAGGACGCGGTTTTTGGGGGACAGGCAGCTTGAGTTCCCAGCTAGCCTCCCTGGGCCCAGAAACCCTAAGCCCTAAACCCCAACCCCTAA